TCACCTGCGTGGGCGGTTTGTCGCGGTCGCCAGCAGCCGGCTCCACCACGCATCGGTCGTCCCCCAGCCTGTGCGGGACAGAGCAGGAGCAGGTCAGCGTTGGTGAGGGGAGCGGCACAACCACAACCACAACACACAGGCCCTGAGCGACACCACCAAAACTGTGCTTCCTGTTTGCCACCCGTTCACACTATAAATATTTAGCAAACAACACTGCTCCTGGAGCAGACAGCTGCTTTGGGGCACTTGCTCTGAACACATCACTCCTTGTTCCCCACCACCCACCAGCTCTTTCATGTGTGTTTTTCATCCCAGTCCCTTAAAGCAAATGGTGCAGACACAAAACAGTGACGAACATGGTGCCTCATGTCAGACCTTTGCTCAGTGGCTCATGCGGGAGGCTCCGATACCCATGTCCTATTGCAGCACATCCCTGCCCAGCTCCCGGCCGAGCCAAACCCCATCTCCACATGGAATGCTGCCTGCAGTGTTATTTCACTGGTAATCTGGCAAAACCTGCATGAGTTCCACTTTCATTCAGTGGTTTTCCTTCTCTGGCCAGGAGCTCACCCCACTGGGACACGGAGGGTGTAGCTGCTGCAGATGGAGGTGACAAGGCCCCCCAAAACCAGTTATTAACTAATATCTGATCAGAGGAGCTGGCTCTGCCCGTCAGGTGCAAAGAGCTGTGTCTCCTCCCTGCCCACCTCTGCTTTGCCAGCGTTGAGCAAAATCCTGTGGGCTTGGCCTTGGGTGCTGAGGACCAGTGTGGGGACAGACGGGACGTTGCTTTTCAAAGTTACCAAGAACAGCAAAGCATATGAAACAGACGGGTATCGATACGGAGTCTATAACCCTGCAGGAGGTTCTGCTTGGCACCTGAAGCACAGCAGGATGAGTGGCGCCCGCGGGGTGGTGGTGCCGGGGGCCACCGGAGCTGTCTGGGGCTCTAGCAAGACAGGCTGTACCCGCTCGCCTGCTTTCTCCCAGAGCCTGGGAAGTGATGCAGCAAGAGAAACTCTGCTCCTGCTGCAGGCGAGGAAGTGAGAAGCGTGTCCCCACCTGCGGAGGCTCAATTCAGGCAGCCGCTGCGCATGCG